ATTAAGATATAAAATAATTCAAAAAGTACTTAATAAAAAAATACTTTATCATAGTGTTTTGAAAACGTCTTGACTTTAGTTACAAGAACATGCAATAAAAAATGGGGGATTCCATTTAAAAAATTCAACTTAATCTTTATATAATCTTGGGGAATCCACCCAAGGTCAAACTAATAAGATCTGTAAATAAATCTTTTTAAACCCTACAACTTTTATTTGAAACATTTTTCTCAAAAATGTTTTATTTTCGAGATATTTGCCTGTTGTGGGACATTTGGGACACTTTGTATTTATACAGGGTGTCCGATAATTGCTGAATCATCTCTCGGATATAGGTAGAGCGGGTTAAACCGAGTAGAAAAGTCTTTTATCATTTTTTGATTTTTGTAATAATTAATGAGAAATTAATTTAAAAATATTGGCCAATTTGCGCGAGTTTAAGCGCGCGGCGAAAAGAGACAGACCAATGTTACGTGGTCGCTAGGATGCGAAGATCTAACATTACACACCGCTCGTACATAGCCGTTGTCATTTGTAAAGTGCTTCTCCCAATACTTCGTCGCGCGCCGAGTAACCAAATAACAGTAGGCTGTCTCTTCTCGCCGCGCGCTTAAATTCGCAGGAATTGGCCGATATTTTTTAATTAATTACTCATTAATTATTGCGAAAATTGCAAAATGGTACAGAACTTTTCTACTCGGTTTAACCCGCTCTACCTATATCCGAGAGATGATTCAGCAATTATCGGACACCCTGTATAAATACAAAGTGTCCCAAATGTCCCACAACAGGCAAATATCTCGAAAATAAAACATTTTTGAGAAAAATGTTTCAAATAAAAGTTGTAGGGTTTAAAAAGATTTATTTACAGATCTTATTAGTTTGACCTTGGGTGGATTCCCCAAGATTATATAAAGATTAAGTTGAATTTTTTAAATGGAATCCCCCATTTTTTATTGCATGGTCTTGTAACTGAAGTCGAGACGTTTTCAAAACACTATGATAAAGTATTTTTTTATTAAGTACTTTTTGAATTATTTTATATCTTAATCTGACATATTTTAATATAAAATCTAAAATATCTCATAAAATATTTAGTTTGTCATAATCTTACCGTAATACTTTTATGTATAAAATAATGAGACGAATAGGATATTGAATAATTTACTGGGATAGGTCATTTTTCGTTGGGTCGGTCGCTAGCGGCCGGACGATAGTGGGGGAACAGAGGCGTCGTCTCGGGAATTGGCCCGAGATGTGCAACTAATTCCGAGCTCTGGTCTATGTGAATAAAATTACTTTAATGCTTTACTTTATAATAATTATTATAATCCTTATTATCACTATATTTCCTCTGCCTAGTAAAACAGTTACGTCACATTCACGTCGAATCCACGTAATTTATGTTTCCTTTCTCTATAGAGTAATATAATCTTGTTCAATATAAATTTATCTCATCTACAGTATATACAGGGTGTTTCATAATGTCCGTGCCAACGCTCGTGTGCGAATAGAGTGCGGTAAACTGAATAGAAAAGTCCTTTACCGTTTTGCAATTTTTGCAATAGTAATTGAGATATTAATTAAAAGGGATTGACGAATAATCGCGCGTTGCGCGTAGCTAGATCGTGGGTTGTACACTCTAAACGTGACAACAACGAGGATCGTATGGCAACGAAAAATAACACGTAGCGAGAGCAGGAGTGATATGCGTTGTTATTTTTCGTTGCCATGCGATTCTCATTGCTGTCACGCCTAGAGCGTACAGCCTACGATCTAGCCGCGATCAACGCGCGATTATTCGTCAATCCCTTTTAATTAATATCTCAATTACTATTGCGAAAATTGCAAAACGGTAAAGGACTTTTCTATTCAGTTTACCGCACTCTATTCGCACACGAACGTTGGCACGGACATTATAAAACACTCTGTATATATGGTTGTATACGCAGTTGTATACGCACTTACAATACTGTCCTGGAAAATGCTGTTGGACTTATACATATGAGTTGCAGAAAATATATACGTACATCCAAATGTATATACATAAATTTTTTCCAAGACGGATCTGGAAACTGCCGTTAGACATATTTGCTTTCCGGGTCGGTCCTGGAAACCGACAAAAGGCTTGGAAACTGGAAACAATATATATCTTATAATGTCTTGAAAACGACCGTTGGACATACGTATAATACTATATATCTAATTGGAAAAAAATGTTATATGTTTTCCCTATTTTTATTCTTATGTAATTAATACAAAATAAATAAATAAGTTAATTAATTATTCAATACATACATATATATGTGTATAGGAATATATTAATTAATTGATTAATTAGTTATTTTGTATTTACTACATAAGGATAAAAATAAGAAAAGTATATGACATTTTTCTTCAGTGATATATAGTATTATATGTATATTTTTCATTAATTATAATATTTATTTTATATTTATTTGACACTTTGTATACGCCTATGTCGTCTCGTACATTATATTGCAGCCTTGTGACGAAATGTCAGTTGAGGAAACAAGCGATGACTATCCGATGACACGTACACAGACCACACGTCAGTGTAGTGAGTTACCAAGTTATCAAGTCTCCTCGCGGTGTTTAGTATTTTTTTTTTTTGTATAACCATGCGCGTTATTGCCCGCGAATCCTTGTTATTGTCCTGTAACCTTTTATCATACGCACGGCAGCATTCGTGCGGACAGAATCGTTACGCATGGACGCGTTTCTCTCTCACTTTGCATCCTCTCTCCTGATAATGAGAATTCCTGTCACGCAGCTCTATTCCGTATCATTCCACATCACGATAAACATTTATTATATATCGAATAATAGTTCGCGCTGTTAATTGAGTTCCCGCATTTAATGACGCGGATATTTTATTTGTAGTCATTCTCAATTTTGATTTTTACTTATATTAATTATTATTCGTGTTAAAATAAAGCAAATAGAGCAAGAGCCGGATCGAGTTGCTCAAAAATTCATTTTTTATTACAAATTATTACATACGTTTCGGCCAAGGGATGTGGTCATCCTCAGTGTAAAATTGACAACAAAAAAATTTTTAGTACATAAGTAGAGAAGCGTTGTTAAGAAATAGTTGTTCATTAATATATAAACGCTCTCCAAACGTAGTTTTTGATTTAGGAAACGCATCCTCTGATACTACGATTCGTACATTATTTGTAGTTAGTTTTATTATACATGTGTGAAGCCACGGACCATCTATCTTGAACGGTCCGTCAAAATTTTGTAAAGAGAAAATTAAAAATGTGACATGTGTCCACGGCAGTGAGTGGGACTCGACTCTCTTTATTTTAATATAAGAAGAGCAATAACCTAATATTAATTGTAATTAATTATTATTTT